ATAACATGTACCTGAGTAAGGCAGCAAGGAAACTTGGTTTAACATCTTGTTCGCTAACACTTGCACTTAATACGACCAGTAAAGCATTCCTTTCGCTCTCAGTCATCAGCCTAGATTTCATGTTCAAGTATCTAAAGCAATAAAGTGATGATCCACGCAGGGCTGAGGTAAAGTCATAGCTGGGACGTTTGGCCATTCTGTTATTGAGTGAGTAGTGAGGCCATAGACACAATCTCGCTTGGGTGAAAGTGGGATGAGAGACTTGGAATGTAGAAAAGGTGAAAAGATGATCTAGTGCGTGTTTAGAAATTGCTTGATAGTACAGAGCTTAAATGTCACTAAAAGGAGACAGGAAGTCAAAACTTTTCATCTTATGTTCGTCTGGGCCAGGATACAAGAAGCAGACTTGAGAAAAGGAACACCAATTTATACAGCATGAGAAGAGGGTGCTGTTTGGCTGGGCCATGCAGCAAGAACAGTTAACTGTCAATCATTGTTCAAGGCAAGGTAAGTCTGATTTGTCTGGGCGTTGCCACGGGAATGCTGCAGAGATTGGCAGCCTCCATGACACTTTTTTGTCTCTTGAAATATATAGATTCTTTATGCACATACAAATATATATGTATATATATCCCATACATTGCATCTGTTCAGCGCAGGTGTTATGGAGTGACAATTAAGTGCCAGGATTTGTATAAATCTTAAACCAGACAGGTTATCCGCTGTTGTTCTTCAAGTAATGCCATTTAATCTATAACATGGACCTGAATAAGGCACCAAGGAGCTTTGGTTTAACATCTTGTGCACTAGCATCAGAATCAACTTGCTAAGCATTCAGCACCCTTTTTTCCTATAGTTTAAATTGTTGTGATCATTTGAAATTTGGCATTCTTGCATTTGTCCTGATGAATGTGAGGTGAAAAGCTTCCATAACGTGTGCTCCTTTTCGCAGTCTTATTTATAAAGAATTCATTGACAAAAAAACATAGTCACGGAGTGCATTGCCCCAAATAACTGTTCAGGCTGTCAGTTACACATGTACAAGGAAAGAACATGCATTTTATGCAGCACACATACTATAGATGAAGTATCCCAAAGGACTTCACAAACATTGAGTTACTTTCAAAGCGCAATCAATGTTGATATACGGGCAGTTTATGAGAGAATTGCAAAGCATAAAGATTAAATGACATTGGAAAAGAGCCACACAATGGAATTAGAGACCTCAGGCCTTTCGGACTAAACGATGGCATCAGGTTGAGACTTCCATCATTGTGATTTCACAGAATTTTTACTTCTCGTATTGAAATGTTAACAAAACTACAAGAAGATCAATCTTCTGCTTTTAGTATAAGCAGGAAGTTGCACTCAAACTGTACTTAAAACCAGTCCAACTCGTCCCTGCCTCCCTAACCTGTTCTTCCTCCCACCTATCCCCTCCTCCCACCTCAAGCCGCACCTCCATCTCCTACCGACCAACCTCATCCCGCCCCCTTGACCTGTCCGTCCTCCCTGGACTGACCTATCCCCTTCCTAACTCCCTACCTACACTCACCTTTCCTGGCCCCATCCCCGCCTCTTCGACCTGTTTGTTTCCTCTCCACCTATCCTCTCCTCTATCCCTCTTCTATCCGCCTCCCACTCTCTCCCTATTTATTTCAAAACCCCCTTCCCCTCCCCCTTTTCTGATGAAGGGTCGAGGCCCGAAACGTCAGCCTCTCTGCTCCTATGATGCTGCTTGGCCTGCTGTGTTCATCCAGCCCTGCACCTTGTTATCTTTAATGGAACTGGGTGCTTTTCTTTAATGTGGCAATCTCTGTTTTAGGCAGTGTGGCTTCATCATCCTGCTCCTGTTTGGCTCCTTTTTTCATTTCTATCATGAAAACAGAATCGGGGTTTGCTCTTAAGGAGCCAGTAGCTGTCCTCTCACTCTCCGCCACACCCCACCACTGAGTTTAGCCATTGGCCTGACTGAGGATGTATGTTCTCCCATGTTTGTTCAAGGAGTCCAGCCAACTCCAATCCCTCTACTGCCTGTTGAAAGAGGAATCTGTTTTCCATTTCAAATGCTTCGACTGAATCAGAATTTGCTGGACCAGTCAGTCCCGATAAGCCAAGTTCACAACAGACTTGGATGGTTTTTGTTGAGGGGTTCAGTGGACAGTGCCCAGGTTATAGACCAAAGGCCTTCAGACAGCCTTTCATCAATCTATGCACAAAATCACACTCAGAGGCGAGAAGGAGACAAAATATCTGTTTTTCTTTGCTTGGCCTCTCAGCAATTGAATAAAAATGGTGCATAGATCATAAAATTTCTACAGCATGAAACAGACCCTTTGGCCCAACTAGTCTACACTGACCCTCAGAGCATCCCACCCCCCATAACCCAGCTAATCTAGAGATCCCTGAACGCTACAGGCAATTTAGCATGGCCAATCCACCTAGCCTGCACATCTTTGGACTGTGGGAGGAAACCTACGTAGACACAGGGAGAATGTGTAAACGCTACACAGATAGTCACCCAAGGGTGGAATTAAACCCAGTACCCTGGTGCTGTGAGCCACTGTGCTGCCACACAAGTCTGTTTCTCTCCAGAAGCACATACAGTTCCACAGGCACCGCTCAGGCTAGGTGGTGGATTGTTGTGTACTGACCCATACAGCAAGTAATCACACACTGACCCACAACTTTGAGGGATCTATGGACGTGGACCCCAAGATCCCTCTGTTCCTCCACACTGCCAAGAATCCTACCATTAACCCTGTATTTTGCATTCAAATTCGACCTTCCAAAATGAATCGCTTCACATTTTTCTGGGTTGAATTCCATCTGCCACTTCTTTGCCCGGCTCTGCATCCTGCCAATGTCCTATTGCAACCTACAACAGCCCTCCACACTTCCACAACTCCACCAACCTTCGTGTCATTGGCAAACTTACTAACCCACCCTTCCACTTCCTCATCCAAGTCATTTATAAAGATCACAAACAGCAGAGGTCCCAGAACAGATCCCTGTGGAACACCACTGGTCACCGAGCTCCAGGCTGAATACTTTCCATCTACTACCACCCTCTGTCTTCTATTGGACAGCTAGTTTTGTATCCAGACAGCCAAATTTCCCTGAATCCCATGCCTCCTTACTTTCTGAATGGGCCTATCATGGGGAATCTTATCAAATGCCTTGCCAGAATCCCTATACACCACATCCACTGCTCTACCTTCATTAATGTGTTTGTCACATCCTCAAAGAATTCAATAAGGCTTGTGAGGCATGTCCTGTCCCTCAGAAAGCCATGCTGACTATTTCTAATCAAACTGTGCTTTTACAAATAATCATAAATACTATCTCTCAGAATCCTCTCCAATAATTTGCCCACTGCAAAAGTAAGACTGATTGGTCTGTAATTCCCAGGATTATCCCCATTCCCTTTCTTGAACAAGGGAATAACATTTGCCACCCTCCAATCATCTGGTACTACTCCAGTGAACAGCGAGGACGCAAAGATCATCGCCAAACATCTCTTCCCTCGCTTCCCATAGTAACCTTGGGTATATCCCATCCAGCTCAGGGGACTTTTCTATCCTCATGTTTTTCAAAATTTCTAGCACACCCTCCTCCCTAACATCAACCTGTTCGAGCATATCTGCCTGTTTCATGCTGTCCTCACAAACGTCAAGGTCCCTCTCACTGGTGAATACTGAAGCAAATAATTCATTAAGGACCTCCCCTACTTCCTCTGACTCTGTGCACAAGTTCCCTCCACTATCCCTGATTGGCCCTACCCTCATTCTGGTCATCTTCTTATTCCCCACATAAGTATAGGATGCCTTGGGGTTTTCCTTAATCCTATCTGCCAAGGCTTTTTCATACCCCTTCTGCTCTCCTAAGCCCATTCTTCAATTCCTTCCTGGCTACTTTGTAGCCCTCTAGAGCCTTGTCTGATCCTTGCTTCCTCAACTTTAAATAAGCTTTCTTCTTCCTCTTGACTAGATGTTCCACTTGTCTTGTCATCCAAGGTTCCTTCACCTTGCCATCCCTTCCTTGTCTCAGTGGGACAAACTTATCCATTTGTCCCAATTTTATAGATAGAACGTAGCAGGACAATTTTCCACATTGTTGGATGGATCCCAGTGTTGTAGCTCGACTGGGAGAGCTTGGCTAGGAGAGTAGCAAGCTCTGGAGCACAACTCATGGAATGTAGTCTGGGACAACAGCCTTAGCAGTAACCTGTGCTTCCAACCGTGTTCTGATTCACATGAAATAAATCAAATTGACTAAACACTGGTATCTGTGATGTTGTGGACCTAAGGAGGAGATTATAGCCCTTGTACTGGACTGTCCCAGCAAGAATAAATAGTACCTTTTCATCTGTATTGAGTATAGGAGTTGGGTCTCTCTTATTATGCCACTTTTGGAACACTGCATTCAATTCTGGTCTCTCTGCTTTAAGGAAGATGTTGCTAAACTTGAAAGAGGCAGAAAAGCTTTACAAGGATTTTGCCAGGTTTATAGGGTATTGAGATAGAGGCTGAAGAGACTGGGCTATTTTCCCTGGAGCATCAGAAACTGAGGGATGATCTTATAGAGGTTCATAAATCTGTGAGGGGCATGGATAGGGTGAATAGCCAAGGTCTTTTTCCTAGGGTAGGGGAGTCTAAAACTAGAGGGCATAGGTTTAAAAGGGACCTGAGGGGCAACTTTTTCACACAGAGGGTGGTGTGTGTATGGAATGAGCTGCCAGAGGAAGTGATGGAGGCTGGTACAATTACAGCATTTAAAAGACATCTGGATGAATATATGAACAGGAAGGTTTCACAGGGATATTGGCCAAATGCTGGCAAATGGGACTAGATTAATTTAGGATATCTGGTCAGGATGGATGAGATGGACTGAAAGGTCCTTTTCTGTGCTGTATGAATGAATCTATGACTGTACCCATTAATCATCTTAAATAGCTCAGCAGATTAGCCATTAATTTGCCATCTCCTGACTGGTGAAAGAAGGTTTGTTGATGTATTGTTATACTATTTAATGCAATTCCGTTGAGTCTGCTGAAAACAGATTTCTTAGTAACCGTTGCAAGAGAGTTGATGCTACAAGTGAAAGGATGAAATTGGGCAACGAAGCAAGATCTGAGCTGTAGGAGTTAACTGAACAACCTTAGCTGACACAGACTTGATAGTCTGAATGACTTCATTCTGTGCTGTGTCACTCTAAGATTTGTTTTGCATCTGCAATCTTTGTGTAAAACATTTGACATTTTCTATTGGTTGGCCAATCTGTTGGGTGTAAGTGACACAGTGATATGCTTTGAATTGATTTACATCATCACCGTTTGAACAGGTGTTTACAAAGTTGTTTTGCAGGAGAACATCTCCTCTTAGTCATCTGAGCGATTAACAAAACCATTCACGGGTTTGATCTCCTTGAGGTATGATGTCATTGAATAAGGCACACATTCGTTTCATTAATTAACACAGGTCCAAAACATTTACATTGTGTCTTCTTCATTCTTCCCATCATATTAATCACAGTTGCCGCCCACTTAGTGCTTCACCGAAGCAGTCTGACTCAGATCACTCCATCACTTGATCTGAACCCTACATACAGAGCCACACAGCCTGGTAACTGCACTTCGAGAACAACGCATACTTTTGAATAATTGTAGACCTTGTCCTCACCAAAGTGTCACAGATGTGTCTGCCCACGACAGTGTTGGTAGGAGTGATAACTGCGCAGTTCTTGTGAAGATAAAGGTCCACCTTCATGCTCAGGATATAGTTGGTCATGTCGCATGCTAAATGGGTAGGCTTTGAACATTGAACAAATCATGGGCAGCCATGAGGCTTTGGGGGCCATCAGCAACTGCTGAATTGCATTGAAACATAATCAGTAACTTCATGGCCCAGCGTATCCCCATTCTACCATTACCATTAAGCCGGGATACCAACACTAGTTCAATGGTAAGTATGAGCGAACGTGCCAGGATCAGCTATAGGTATATGTCACAGAAAGGGAAGCTACAGCACAGGACTACATGCATGCTAAGCTAGAGAAGCAACGGACTGTGGACAGAGCTGATTGGTCACGCATGGATCAGACCAAACTCTGTGTCATTCAGCTGTGAGTAATTCGGGAATGAATAATGAAACAACTGATGGTAGGAGGAGGGATCACAAACCTACCTATTCTTGAATGATGGCATGTTTAGCAAGTGAGAGCAAACACCAAGGCTGAAGCATTTACGGCTATCTTTGGCAGTGTCAAGTAGATAATCCGTCTCACTCTCCTACTAAGAAAATAAGCATTGCATAAAGCAGTGAACCTGAAAGGGTTAACTCAGAAGCTGTGAAATAGCTCCACTCCTGATATCTAAATAATGTTTCTGGGAGCGACTCGCCACTTTGTTCTTCATTGTTCACCAGCTCTATGGTCTAGTGCTATCAGATATAGGTCTAGTTATATCTCTTAAGTGATATTGTTTCTTTCCTAAGGTACATGTAATTAACCAGTCTTAAGGTAATGTAATCTCTTGTCCTTTTTTTGTATTTATTCAACCATGGGACTTGGGTGTTGCTGGCTGGGCAAATATTTCTTGTCCATCCCTAGTTGCCCTTGAGAAGGTGGTGGTGAGCTGTCCTGTTGAACCGCTGCAATCCATTTGGTGCAGGTAGACCCACAATGCCCTTAGAGAGGGAATTCCAGGATCTTGACTGTGAATGAACGGCAATATATTTCCAAGTCAGGATGGTGAGTAGCTTGGAGGGGAAGTTGCAGGTGAAGGTGTTCCCACGTATCTGCTGCCCTTGTCCTTCTAGATAGAAGTGGTCATGGGTATGGAAGGTGCTGTATGAGGATCTTTGGTGAATTACTGAAGTGCATCTTGTAGATAGTACACACTGCTGCTACTGAGAGCCAGCAGTGGAGAGAGCGGATACTTGTGGATTTGGCTGCTTTGTCCTGGATGGTGTCAAGCTTCTTGAGTGTTTTTGGAGCTGCACCCATCCAGGCAAGTGGGGAGTATTCCATCACACTCCTGACTTGTGCCTTTTGGATGATGGGCAGACTTTCAGGAGTTAGGAGATGAGTTGATCACAGCAATATTCCTAGCCTCTGACCTGATATTGTAGCTACTGTATTTTTATGGCTAGTCCAGTTAAGTCAATGGTAACTCCAAGGATGTTGATTGTGGGGGATTCAGTGATGATAACACCATTGAATGCCAAAGGGTGATGGTTAGATTGTTTCTTGTTGGAGATGGTGATGGCCTTTTGCGTGGTGTGAATATTGCTTGTCACTTGACAGCCCAAGCATGGATATTGTCCAGATCTTTTCACAATTACTATTTCATAATAAACACTTCTTGTTAATCAAGTATGTCTCTTCTGCTGAAGTCACATCAGTGGCTCATCTTTCACTTATTAATATGAGTAAACTGCTGGGACCCTTATTACAGGAGGGATTGCTGGCAACAAATCTACACAAAGCAGATCCTAGCAGAGCCAAGTGCAAGCTGCGGGCATGTCTTACGACGATAAGCATATAAGAAATAGAGGGGCTCTTGCGATATAGTGATAGTGTCCCCGACCCTGGGCCAGGAGGCCCAGGCTCTTCCTGCTTCAGATGTGTGTTGTAACATGCCCGAACAGGTTGATTAAAATAGCTATAAGAAATAGAGACAGGAATAGCCAAATGGACCCTCAAGTTGGCTCCCACAATCAATACCATCACGGCTCATCTTCTTCCTGAACAATAATTGTCTCAAGTGAAAGGAATTGCTGAGCTACAGGGAAAAGGGAGTGACTGGGTCGGGGTGATTTGGAGAGCCAGCATGATCTAAATGGGCCAAATAGTCTACTCTTGTGATGTAACCATTCTATTATTCTACGTGCTACTTTTCCAGCCACCCCACATATCCTGCAATTGCCCGAGAGATCCAGTTTTCCATATTCAATGATGCAGCATCACCATCCTCTGAAGTAGAGAATTTCAAAGATTCACAATTCTTTCAGTGAAAACATTTTTCTTTTCTGATTGACATTTTATTCTGAGGCTGTGCCACTCCCTCGAACAACCCAAGTTCCCCAACCCATGTTCTGATTTCCTCACCTACAACAGATAACCTCCAGTGTCAACCCAAACAAGCCCCTTCAAAATCTTCTGTACTTGAATATGATCCCTTCCCATTTTTCACAACGCCAAATGTTTTCTCCTATTTACTCGGCCTCACCTCACATAAATCATTGTGATACCATCTCCAACACCTTTGATATGGAGACAAAAGATACACAGCACTCCTTGAACAAAGCCCTATACAGGTGGAGCAAGACTGCTTGCTTTTGTGTTTGTTCTGTTGCAATGATGAGAAAGCAGCCCGCTTTATTGGCAACACATCCACAAGCATTTACTTTCTTCACCACAAATACTCAGGATCAGCAGTATGTACTATCTACAAGATGCCCTGCAGAAGTATCACCAAAGATCCTCAGTCAGTACCTTCCAAACCCACAACAATTTCCATCTAGAAGGACAAGGGCAACAAATACATGGGAACACCATCATCTGCAAGTTCCCCTCCAAGTCACTCACCATCCTGACTTGGAAATATATCGCCGTTCCTTTATTGTTGCTGGGTCAAATTCCTGGAATTCCCTTCCTAATGGCATTGTGAGTTCGCCCACTGCATGTGGACCACAGCGATTTAAGAAGGCAACTCACCACTACCTTCTCAAGGGGAACTAGGGACAGACAATGAATATTGGCCTAGCCAGCGATAACCCGACCCATGACTGAATTAAAAATAAACGTGCCATTTATCCTGCTCCCTTCTTGCTGTTCCTGAATTCCAACATTCTGATATTCCTTGTGCAGATCTATCCAAGGGGAGGAACAGAAGGGAGCCAATCTAGACCAACACCCTGAGAAATTACTTTTATTTTTGAGGCTGAGGATAAGACTCAATTTAGCTACAGATTCACTAAACATCTGTTGGGGAGCTGATGGCCTAGTGGTATTATTGCTGGACTGTCAATCCAGAGACTCAGGTAATGTTCAGGAGACCGTGGTTAGAATCCCACCATGCAGAATTTGAATTCAATATCGAAAAAAAAATTCTCATGATAACCATTGTTGATTGTCAGGAAAAAACTATTTGGTTTAAATAAACTGCCATCCTTACATAGTCTGGCCTATATGTGATTCAAGACCCACAGCAATGTGGTTGACTCTTAACTGCCCTCTGAGTAATTAGGGATGGGCAATAAATGCTGCCTAGCCAGCAATGCCTACATTCCATGACTGAATTTTTTAAAAAAACTTGTTTAATCAGTGCTGACAAGTGGACGGAACCTGTAGAATTACAAATACAAATAAAATAGTGAAAGGTTAATGAAAATAGTTCTTGTAAGTCTGCATCCTTGCCATAAAATATTCTGAAAATTGAAGATTACTGAAGCATTTAGACAGGAAAACCTGTCCTTTGACTCCAGGGAAGCTGGTAAGTACCAGATGGGTGGGACAGCAGCTTGCATGCCATCATGTTGATTAAGGAGGTGGTGACATTGCTCAGGGTGTGAAATACACAATTGGGTTTGGCACCATTGCTTCACTCCAGAGGCCCGGCTGTAGAAACCCAGGTTTGTCACTCAGGACACCTGCAAGTGATGTGTCAGTTCTAAAATTAGCGTCCTTCCACCTCCCACACTCTCCCCCGCATGCAAATACTTGCTTATTATACATATGAATATGCATTTATGTTATTATTAACACTGAAAACCAACAAACTCAAAGGAAACTTCTCTCATGCTGCTCTCTGTCATGTTAGTCCTGCAGTCCCAACATTCTGTTGGATGCCCAGGGAAGGACAGGCTGGTATCTAGGATGGGCTTGATGTCTTATGAGGAAAGATTAGATTGACGAGGCTTGTATCTACTGGAGTTTAGAAGTCTAAGAGGCAACAACATACAAAATCCTAAGGGGTCATGACAAAGTGGACGGGGAAAGTATCTTCCCTCTTCAG